TTTCTACCAGTAGCCAAGTGCCAGATTATGAGCAAGACTTAATGAAAAACAAAATGAGAATTTCAAGGCCCAAAACCCTTTCCTGAAGATGCCAGTGGTGTTTTTCTCACAGCTCTTGCAGTGGTGAGTCACCAGCACAAGAGGTGGCTTATCAACTTATTAAATGCACTATTTTTTTGACAGAAAAGTTCATGATTTTGCAATTCTTGTGGGATTTTGATTTACTCCAGGTAATTTATAATCAAACTTTAAATACTTATAGACAATTTAGGTGGAAGCCTGCTGCCATCACCTTATATATTATATACAAGATCTGAATAAAAATCACAACAGTATGAAGAAGATGAGGGTTTCTTCAATCAGCAGGTTTATTTAAGGAAAAATTAGCTACAATGTGAAACGTGAAAGCAACATAAAGTTTTTTAAGCTGGTGCTGAGGTTTCTTTTCAGATGAGCCTCCCCAGGAATTAGATTTGGACATGGTCCCTTCCCCATTGCATGCTTCTTCTTAACTTCTTGTCCTTAATTTCCGGTCTACCATCACACAGATAGTTTCTCCCTACAATATTTCATATATAAAGTACAGAACACAGGTGAGAAATAGGATTTAAAACTGTCCAGATGAAGGAGAGTGAGATGGCTGTGATGGAAGAGCTGATTCACTGCTCCAGGTTTACACGGGAGTAACCTCATTGAAATAAGGAATTTCACTCCTCCAGAACCGAGACTTGAGTCAGGCTCAGCTGAACCATGGACTTTTGTATTCATTCAGAGGATTAAATAGAGTCTCCCATGTTTTTCAGCTGAGTCCTGCACACCTGACATGGGCAAAACAACCACTGCACTGTGAGCAACATGACAGAACTGGGCACTGAAGAACTGGACTGCATAGCACCACAGAATTTCAGAAAATACTGACAATCTGGAAATAAAGTGTCTCCCTCAGGACTTTATGAACTCAGTTCCAGTGGAAACTTTGCCTATATAAAGTTGATGGGATGAGGCATCTACATACAAATATTAAATTCACGTTAAGGGGACTAAATTTGGCTTAAGTGGAATATGCCTTTCATCTCTCCTGGTTTTACTGAGTATTTTATTGCAATTCTTTCTTTATTAGTGGGAAAGAAAATCAGTGTGTTTTAAAATTGTTCCCACTGTTGTGAGTATAAACTTCCTGAAGATTTTAGCCTGTTTGCAAGAGATTGAGTAAAATAAAGATTTTTTTTTTAGGTCAACATTTTCTTCTGGCAGACTGAGCCTGAAGTGCACTTTATTTCCCTTTAATTTAACAGCTCCAGCAGCTTTTCCAGTTAAATCGACTGTTCATTATTGAGCCCATTTATGAAGGGCTGTGCAGTGCAGTTTAATGAATCCCTGGCACAAAGCTCCCTTTCAGTGTAGGGAAAGAATAGCAGCCTATTTAGGTCCTGTAGGGCTGTATGTCAAAGGCTGCCTATAATACTTGTCAGGGAAGGGCAGAAATTCCCACTGATATAAGAATGTGCAAGAAATCAACTTTCACAACCAACTTGCCGATTAAGACGCGATCAGGAAATGAGTCCGTAGGTTGGGAGCGGTGACACCTGTTTGGGCAGCCAGATTTTCCCATAACTCCATCACCATATGGGCCATACAACCAGGAAGGGGAAAAAAATAAAAGAGAGAGCCCTCCCTCCCCTGTCGCAGAGATTTTCCTACTTTCACGCTGCCTTCCTGATGCCACGATGAAAGGAAAATGGGTGTTGTGAATTGTGAGAGCTGGGCTCAGCGCTGGGTTTGGTTTGCCTTCCCTAGGAGAAGGTTTTTGTAGTGATCGTAAGAACATGGAACAGTTTGGGTTGGAAGGGACTGTAAAGATCACCTGGTTCCAACCTCCCTCAGTGAGTAGGAACATCTTCAACAAGACCAGCTTGCTCAAAGCCTCATCCAGCCTGGCCTTGACACTTCCAGGGATGGGGAATCAACCACCTCTCTGGGTAACCTGTGCCACTGTTTCACAACTCCCATCATAAGACATTTCTTCTTTATATCAGCATGAATTTATTTCCTTTTAGTGATGAGGCACAGCGTGAGATGTTCCTCCAGGCTGATCCCAGTGGGATCCTGCCCTGCCATGGCAGAGGATTTACCCTGGGACACTTGGACACTGAGGTGGGTGGCTCCATGAGCTTCACGAGGGCAGACAGAGCCTCTGCAGCTGGCTCCAGTGAGGAGCTGCTCCACAGAAGTGCTGGCACTGTAACGCTGCCCTCCACTATGCAAGGCTTCCTTGCTTGTGGAAGCTGCTCTCCTTTCTGTCCAGCCTGGTCGGCAAGGATAACAAATTGTTCTTCTTGTGAAGGGCTCGATCGTGTGGCCATGAGCTCAATCTGTGGCCACATCAAAGCATTAGTGATCAGGGCATCCTGCTCCCTTTGATTCTCAGAGTCACTGTGCCCTGGTTTTCTAAAAAAGCCAAGCTTGATGCCAAGGGCGTTACTCCCAGAAGCCTTTGTTCAAAAACCAGAGGTGGTTGAGATACTTCTCCCTCTAACAAGCAAGAAAATGAACAAAACCAGATAAATTTCCTATGCAAAAGTGGGCAAAAAAAAAAAAGCAGTATAACCCCTGGAGCCCCTCAGTAAGCACTGAGTGCTCTCCTCTGGGATGAAGGTCTGGGGTGGTGGAAGCAATTCTGCAGCCACTTCACTCACCCCAGTCTGTTAGGGGCAAAGTGCAGGGAAAAGGACATCTGGTCCAAAATTTTGGCTGGGGTTGGGGCTATTTTGTGGGTCTAAACTCAGCATTTCCTGGACATTAGACCCTGCTAGTGAGCTCAGGTGGATAGCTGGGCCTGAGAGTCACCACGAGTGGGCTGAGCATCAGCATCCTGAAAGGGCACAGGCAGAAGACAAGCAGGCTCATACAGCTGCTAGAAAAGAGATGTTTTTCAAAAATAACCAAACTGCTATTTCCTTGAAAAAAATTCAAGTTTCTTTGCAAGTTGTTGACATCATGTGGCTTAGCAAATTTCCCTCCAGGCATTGCCCAACTCGGGGTAATCAGCTCTGCCTGAGAGAACACGGAGAATGAGCATGTTTAATGCAATTATGAAGGCTTTCTAAATCTCCAGATCTGGTTGAGAATATGTAAATTCAGCTGCTTAGCACAACTGAATGCAAACTTTCCTTTGCATGCCTGACAATTGTTTTAATACTCTCCAAGTTTTAGGAGGTAATAAAGTCTCCCGCTAAACCGTAGCTGAGCTCTCAAAGCTGTTTAATTGAATGAATTCAGCCTCACAGAAGAGAAGCTGGGGCTTTCAGCTCTTTTTTATCTGAGCCACCGGATATTTATCCACTCTGCATATAATGCCACCCAGACTCATTAACAAACCCTTTAGACAAGCCATGGAACATTGCTGCTACGATGCTGAAGCGGATGCTAATTTGAGGACAACTTCATTGCCGCTCTGTTTGAATTATTTCGTGTTGCTCACATAAGAAACAGACCCAGACTGTCTGCACATTCTGTGAAGGATGGCGACCCCCGTTTTCTAGACCCATGTGCAGTTCAAAGTGGCCTCACAGGGGATGCAAAACTATCTAGTGGAGCACACGGGGGATGTATATGTTGTTCTTTACATTTTCCCATCAATAAGGGTGCTTGGAGCAGGCTGCAAAGCTTGACAGGGCTTGACAGGGCCTGAGGGTAACAGCTCGGGTCGTTAATCCCTGTCAGTTGTGTTTGAGATAAGCAGTTTAAATCCACCTTCTATGCAGACATACTCATTCTGACATGGAGAGATACATAAACTTCCCATAGCCCTCTGCCTACCAGGGTTCTTTTGCTTCAATTACACAGTTACACTCAGAGCAAGTCCCGAAATAAGAGAGACTCTGGGAGCCTCCAGCTGAGCGAGTTTTGCAAAGGAGACCTTGTCCAGATGGGCTGGCACCAGAACCCAGGCTGTGCCTGGGACTGTGAGGTTCTGCCTGCCGCTGGGACCCTGCTGAGACCTGGTGAGAGATCAAGAAAATCAGCAATCCTGTTTTGTAGAGGATATTGAGCCTTCTTTTCCTCTCACGAAATACGTGCTTTCTCCTCTTTTCTCTTTGCAATACTTGCTTTGCATGCAACAAGTGTTTCAAACCACGGCGAGGTGAATTTGGCTGCATTTTCCATTTTACCACTAATTACGGTCCCAGGAGCCTGTCTCACTTTCCTTCTGCAGTTTTGCTTTCTGGTTTTTTCCTTCCAATACAAATCTGCTGCATTTCTAATGAACTGATGCAGACCATGAAAACTCACTTTATTTAATTCCAAATCAGATATGGATCTTCATTCAATTTTGGACATATAAAAGCATTGAACATAAATCTGGACCTGGGTTGAGGGTTGTTCTGCATCAATGTAAGAGTTTTTTGAAGGCAAATTGAAATACTTTTCCCCATAAAAAAGACAAGATAGTTCTTTCAGGAGTTGTTAACAGTACTTTAAGTGGCCACTTCACTAACTTTTTTAGCTTCTATGTGGAAGATTTATACTGCTGCTTCACTAAATCCATGCAACACCACAAGAAAGGTGGTCTAGTGGAAGGTGTCTGTTCTCAGTGTAGGGGAGTTGAACTAGATGATCTTTAAAGTCCTTACCAGTCCAAACCATTGCATAATTTTGTGACTTTAACTCCAGTCATTTGAAAACTCTACTGGATCACAGCTCTGAATTTTCTTAGGACTTGACTAGACAGAGAATACACTATGTAATGTGCATATCAATGAGCTTGGAAAAAAGCATCCTTTACAAATCAGTTTAAGTGTGTGTATCCTGGCGGCTGTCAGAGCCAGAGCATGTCCCCGTGCCCTCGCCCCCAGAGCCGTGCAGGCGCCGGGCCTGACCCCAGATGGAGGAAGATGTTTTCTGCCAGCTGAGCAGCTGCAGCGGGGGGGACAAGACTGCCGGGGTCTGAAGGGTGCTGTGCACCCGCTCTGGGCTGCCTGCGTGTGTCTGCTCAGGTGATGCCTGTGCACCTGTCCCGGGCTGTGTGTGTACACCTGTCCCAGGGCGGGCGTGTCCAGGCCCCGGGGGTGATGCTCGTCCCGCCCGGGTCGGTGCCTTGGTGGGTGCAGCCGGCCCGGCCCCCGGGCTCCTGGCGGGGAGGCGGGGAGGGCCGGGGCCAGCCCCGCTCTGATCCCTCCTCCTCCTCCTCCTTCCCCGCCCGCCGCCTTTTCCCCGCTGCCGCCGCCGCCGCCCGCCGGGCGCATCCCAGCGGACTCTGTCGGGACTCGGGGCGGCGGCGCTCGCCGCCGGCCATGGCCGTGCCCGCCGCGCTGCTCAGCCCCCACCACCTCCTCTCCTTCTGCTTCCCCGCCGCCGGCGGGCTCCTGGGCTATGCCGACCTGGAGAAGGGCTACGAGGGCGGCGGCGGCGACGCGGGGGACTTCAGAGAAGCCACCCGGGACCTGCTGAGCTTCATCGACTCGGCTTCCAGCAACATCAAGCTGGCGCTGGACCGGCCGGTGAAGTCCCGGCGGAAGGTGAACCACAGGAAGTACCTGCAGAAGCAGATCAAGCGCTGCACCGGCATCATCGCCGCCGCCGCGCCGCCGCCCGCCAAGGAGCCGGAGAAGGGCGGCGGGGGCGGCGGCGCCGAGGCCGCCGAGTTCTTCGAGCTGCTGTGCCCCGAGTACGGCGCGCTGCTGCCCGAGCACGCCGCCCCGACCGACGCCTTCGGCGGCCGCCTGCCCGCCGAGCTGGGGCTGGAGCACGGGCTGTACGAGCTGCCGCTGCCCGCCGGGCCGCACCCGCTGCTGGGCGGGCTGCTGTACCCCGAGCCGCCCTGGAGCCCCGCCGCGCCCTGCAGCCCGCCCAGGAAGGCGCCGGCCGAGCCGCTGCGCCCCATCTACCCCGGCGGCGCCGAGCCCGTGCCCGGCGGCAGCGAGGAGCCCGGCGGGCCTCTGCCCCCGGGGTTCGCCCCCTTCTTCCCCGAGTGCCCGCTGCCCCCGCCGCAGCCCCCCTACGACTTCGGCGGCGGGTACCACCGCGGGGGCTACCCCGGGCTGTAAGGCGGCCGGCGGGAGCGGAGCCCGCAGCCCCGCGGGGGCTCCCACACTCCGCTCCTGTGAGAGCCCCGCGGGCACGGCCCCCGCAGGATTCACCCTCGTGCACTGCCAGTCTGCTCCTCCTGCGGTTTGGGCGCCGCTGCAAATAAAATGTGAAACTTTGGGTTTCTTCAGGTCTTTTTGTAGCGGCCGGTGCCCCCCTTTCATCCTCCTTGCTTAGGGGCCAGGGCTTGGCCGCCTGTAGGCGGACGCGTTGCTGCACCTGTCAGCGAGGTGGGGACAGGGGCTGCGCTCCTCAGAGGCCGCGGGGACCACTCGTCAATGATTTCAGTCTACATCTAAACCTCATGTCAACACTTGAGGTGCGTTTAGCGTTTTTCCCAGGCTCACGTTTGTCACAAGTGCTGGCAGGTGTTCAGCTGAGGACACAAAGGCGAGAAAGCGAAGCAAAATTAAAAATGCTGCTACCAAAACTCAGTGTACTGAAATTTTAACAGCGTCTTGTGGGATCTTGCAAAAAGGCAATTTACAGTGATTCGTAAGTTAATTGATGGTGTAGGTTCGGGACAAAAATGTACTGTAGCCACTGCGGCCATGTGATTCCTACAGACTGTTGGATTTCTTCCAGGAATGTGTCAAAGCTCAGAAAGCAATGCGGCTCCGTCTCATTATGTACAGGAGATTATTTGATAATCATTTAAGTTATGTAAAAAGAGTCTATGATAGGTCCTATAAAAATAAAGCTACACAATAGATCCGAGCTGTGTGGTTGTTACTGCTGTTGAGACGCGGCGTTCAGGGGGCTTTCACCGTGTCTCCATCCTCTGTAATGGTTTCTTGGCAGGAGTTAAGACAGGCAGCGGGTTTTGTCTTTTCTAAATCTTTTGAAACGCTGTATTTTATCCACAGCGACCCGTGCTTGTTTGGCCTTCATTTGTACCGTCTGTTTCCGTAACTTGGTAGAAAGAAAGGAGCGGTAATACGCTACAAAGTCAAGGGATGAAAATTGTTACAGTTATGAAAACAGATCAAAATACTCGGAGGTTTCCTATTGAGATGCAAGTTCTCAAAGGCAATCCCGCAGTCTGGCTCCCTGCCAGCCCCAAGTGGATTGTTTGTTTTTTAAACGGGATCCACATAGGGATCAGCCTGGGGTTTTACCCGCGGTGGTGGTGACAAACCCTTGTGCCTTCTGTGTTTTAAAAGATAGTGTGGAAGGTAAAGCAATTTTTTTTCATTCTTCTAGCCAGATTTAACTTTTCAGAGATTTGGGGTCAGCACGCTGGGAAGTGTGGAGAGGTGAAGCAAAATCTTTTGGAGATAAACTGAGAGAATTTGTTTTGGCAAATGTTTTAATTTTACTTTTATAAGCAAGAGCTGTAACTGCTGCCTCCTCTTTCCTCCCCACAAGCTGCCCAAGGTGTCCAGAAACTGTATGGAAAGGAACCACCATGGATGAATGTCCACAACACTCCCAGGATTTGATAGCTGGGTGCTGTTGAGGAAATGCACTTTTCAAAAACAATTCTGCAGCAGTTTATTTCACTCAGGTGCTCAAGAGCGTGTATGAGGATCAATGGGCAGCCAGTCCAGCCAAGGTAGCTACAAATTAGGTTAATCCTGCCCTGCTGCTGGTTGTGATGATGGGACAGCGTTCTGCTCTGTAAGCTCTGTCCTGCCTTCTTCACTTTGGCAAACCTCCCAGCTGCACGCTACCAGCTCCCAGCAGAGCTTGCATCTAACTGCATCTGAGACTACCTGGGCAAGACCAGCTGGGGGTTTATTTCAGGTGCACATGTGTTGGATTATTTTTTTCTTTGTTTAGCTCCTACTTCAAGCATGTGAATTTGCAGCATATCTTGACAGCTGCTCAGAATTAATTCAGCTTGATGATGCTGTGCTAAAATCTCAGTGCCCATTTTACTCCCCTGAGCTGTGCACCTAAGACTTGTGCTTTCAGCAACTTTTGCATTTCAGGCAAATGATGGGGGAGCTGATAATGCAGTGGTTCCAGGTAAGGAACAAACGAACCTGTTTTAGGATTTATTTATCCCATAAGCTTAACAGGCAAATGTGTATTAACTGGGGATCTAATCCTGAAGACTTTATAACCTATCCTGTCAGCTGTCTCACAGGTGTCAGCGAGATTTTGCTCAGAAAAAGTCAAAAAGAGGTTTTCAGGCATTGGTTCTGGGATAGACACTGCAAACCTGAATAGTCTGATTGCCCACAGACCTCACCTTCTTATTCCAAGTAGCCCTGAAGGGACACAAATCTGAGCAGCTGGTGGTTTTTGCTCATGTGGTGCTCTGTGGCCTTGTAGGTGGTGAACTGTGGTGCTCAGAAGCAGAGCATCAATCAGCCTTCTTGGGTCACACCTTGTCTAAAACCAGTGGGAGAAGCAGCTCTGTGGGTACCAGCAGATCTGGGCTGATCCAAGGCTGGGGTGTCAGCCCATTCCCAGTGCTCCCAGCTTGGGAGGGTTCTTTGTGGGCTTGCAAGAGCTTGGGGTCTGGCTCTGGGAATCAGGCTGACTCAGCAGCAGCTGCACAACTCTCTTCAGTTTAGCCTCTATCCTGCTATAGTTCCTTAAAGGGGAAAATTCAGATTATAGGAGCTTGCACTGAAAGAAAAAAAGGAAATCTAGAAATCAGTGTTCTTCTAAGTATGGCTACATTGCTGCCAGAGGATGTATTTGTGTCTGAAGAGAACCTGGCATGGGTAGTCTGATGAGCCTGGAAAGGAGCTAACAACAGCTTTTCCCAACACAGACCACACAAAAACTTCTGTGTAACTCCTGAGGAGCACTGGAGCCCCTCTCCACACTGTGGAGATGGTGAGGGCACCTGAACAGCCCAGGGTTGCCATCTAGTGAGGCTGCATCTTTGATCTCCTTTGTGCATGTGTGGGCTCTTTTTGTTGGGTTGCTTCCCCCAGCTTGAATAGTACAGGCACTGAAAACATCACCTAACAGTCTCACTCAGAAACACCCTTGGGAAATTGTTTTCTCCTCTGAAACACTGAAGATCATAATCTTAAGCATCTGCAAGAATAAAAGCTTTTGTAATTGAGCAAGATATTTTGGTTTTTTTGATGTACTTTTATAAGGAGTCTGTCCCTAAGGACTAAAGCTGATTCATTTAAGCTTTTCTGTCTTAAAAGAAGTGTCTCCCTTTGAAAGGAAATGGGTTCTGTTTGGTTGGATCGAGGTCAGACTACAAAACTATTTAATTTTACAAAGCCTGCACAGAGTTCCTCAGATAACTAAACTCCATTTTATTGCTGGTGTATTTTACACTTACTGCCTGATGTTACTGGAGGTTTTCATGGGAAAACATACACGTGTTAATAATTTTTCTTATATAGTCAAAGATGATAAAGGGGGATTACAAGAACCCTTGCTTCTCATTTTAAATGAGGGAATCTTAACCTTTCCTTAGTGGTGATTTACTGACAAGTAAGTAAGGGTTCACCATGAATAATTACTACTGTGTCTCAGTATTTTGTGACTTAAATAGTCTGGGTCTATTCCAAAGCCACTTTCAGAAAGCAGAAAGATTCCTTTTTTTAAAGTGTTTTGAAACAGGCTCATTAACTATTTCATGGCCTGAGCTTGGGATTGCTCTAGTACAGCCCAGCCATTGACGATGAGTCATCTTCGCTGAGTTTACATAGTTGATCAAAGTGTTAGTGAAAAAGATACAGAAGTTTATTCTAAACTCTTTTTGTTTTCTGACTTTCTAAATAAACTGCTTTTGGCAACAGTGCAAAAACTGAAGGTCATTCTGCACTTATTGGCAACAGGAGGAAAAAGGTGGTGGAGCAATTCCATAGAGATGTGCAAGAAATTCAGATGAGACTGTGAGAGTTCAAGCCTACAAGCCCGACTATATGAAGAGACAGCTGGGAATGCTTTTAGGATAGCTTTGAGTCAGCCAAAGAGGCTGGTGAACACTTCCTAAAAATCCAGTGGTGTTTGTAACACATCTAAAAAACAGCCAAAAGTAGAGTGTATGATAATGAGCACTCTCTCCCCAATTCTGTGTGGGTAAATATTGGCAGGAGATTGCTGAAAGGCAATGAATAATGAAGGTGTTTAATAATATTTTTCAATACCACACTGGAACCCTGATTATCCCCTCCCTTGCTGGCAAAGAACTACTTCAGCAGCCTGCAGGTTTTTAGGCTTTTGTGCTTTTTGGACTCCCTCCATATGAAATGGAAATGTACTGTCAAAGCCTTATCTTTAGGGTTGTTATGATTGTAGTCCACAGACCTACAGCTGTCCAGAGGTCACAGACTCAATGTCACTGCATTGCTGTCAGTGGGATGTATTTATAATTACTTGAATAGGCCAGTGTGGGATTTGAGGAATAGGCAGCATTTCCCAAATGATCCTTCATCTTTCCTTCTCTGAAACAGGGGAATCACATCTTATTTATACAATTTGTGTCATCCCCCAGAGGCAGCTAAAACTGCATGATTTACCCTGTGCTCCTTCTACGTATTCCCCAACAATGTTGGGCATATAAGAAAATGTGAACTGGCTGCACTGAAGGAGGGGGGAGAGGATTCAGGATTTGTAGTAAAGGGTTCTGGTGCCCCTGTTAGTACATGTTTTGTGTGCTAGGATGTCTCCTGGTGGGCATTTTAGACTGCATCAGCCTCAGCAGCTAATTGTAATTCATCCTGTGGGCTTGGCTGAACAAATTCTGGCAAATCCTGCTGTGCCAGATGAAGAGGTGACTATCTCAATTTCCTGCTTGTAAAGGGTTCTGGTGCCCCTGTTAGTACATGTTTTGTGTGCTAGGATGTCTCCTGGTGAGCATTTTAGACTGCTTCAGCCTCAGCAGCTAATTGTAATTCATTCTGTGGGCTCTGCTGAACAAATTCTGGCAAATCCTGCTGTGCCAGATGAGATGAATCTCAATTTCGTGCTCTCTCTTTGCCATAGGTGCCACCCCTTAGCTGCGTGCTGAAGGGAACTGTACCCGTGCCTCTGTTGCTACAACCTGTGATCAGTGCCCAAGTGCATCCTCCAGGAGGGTTTGGAGTGAAGTGGGGGCAGTTTGGCTTAGTCCAGGAATGGCTGGAGCTCAGCTCAGCCATTTCAGCCACAGCTAAGTGAAGCAGATCTCCTGTCAGACTGGGAGTGAGTTAAACCTAAAACACTACATGACAAATCACTTTACTGGTGCCTGCAGATGGGGAATACCGACTGCTCTCTCTTGGGGAAGCTGGCCATAATTGTTACTAATTTTATTTTTGTTCAGCTTCATAAAAGATAGAGGCCCACAGTTTCAACCCTTTGTACCTACATTGTGGTGAAAACTCAGTGAAAGATTTTTAATTTGATGTTGCCACAATACTCTTCAATCAGAAGAATCGTGCCTGAGAAGCTGCTGGACCAAGGATGGTGTCACAGGAGAAGCAGTGGCCCAGATTTTTGTCCCTTTTTTAATTGCAGAATGTGATACAGGCTTTTCTGTACCACAGGGTAAAGGAGAAATTTATAGGGACTGATTTCTATGACTCATTTCAGTGACATAGCAGACATGACTCTTTTTGTCTTCTAAATCTCATAGCAAAGAGCTTGAGCCTGTGCAGTGTGCTCAGGACTCTGGGTTCAGGTGGACACAACACTCCAGGGTGGCACTGAGAGCTGTCCTGGACCCTCTCTTAGCATGACATTCTTATTTCCTTCTCTTCCAATCTCTCTTTGATGTGTTCAGCTCTCAAGCTCACCAGAATGTTTGGGTA